ATCAAAAGATAGTATCAAGAAAGTAAAAGGCAACCCACAGAATAGGAGAGAATATGCGAGTGATATATCTGATAAGAGACTTGTTTCCTGATTAAAGAACTCTTACAATTGTATAAAGAAGAGAAAAATAAACTAAATAGAAATGGGAAAAGTATATGAATAGTCATTTCTACAAAAATATATGCAAATGGTCAATAAGCACATGAAAAGACAATCAACATCATCAACCATCAAGAAAATGCAAATCAAAATCACAATCAGATACCACTCACATTCACTAGAATGGCTAAAATCAGAAAGACAGAAAATAGGGAGTGTTAGCGGGGGTGTGCACAAATTGGGACCCTTATACACTGCTGACTGAAATGTGAAATGATGCAGCTATGTTGGAAAACACTCTAGCAGTTTCTCGAAAAGTTAAACATAGAGTTAGCATATGACCCCAAACCTCCATTCCTAAATATATACCACAAATGTTCACGTAAAAATGTTTACATGAATGTTCATAATGGCATTTTTCATAATGGCCAAAAGTGGAAACTACTCAATGTCTATCAACTGAAGAATGGATAAATAAAATGTGGTTTGTCCACATAATGGAATATTACTTGTCCATAAAAGAATAAAGTGCTGATACATGCTATAACATGAATGTACCTTGAAAACACTATCCTAAGTGGAAGAAGCCAGACACAAAATGTGACATATTATATGATTCCACTTACACTAAATGTGCATAATAGGGAAATCTAGAGAAACAGAAAACATTAGTGATTGCTTAAGGCTAAGAGGGTTGGATGAAATTAGGAATGACTGCTAATGGATATGGGATTTATTTTTTGTTATGAAGACAATGCTCTAAAATTAATTATGGCAATGGTTGCAAAATTCTTTGAATATACCAAAAAATATGATTTGTATACTTAAATGGGTGAACCATGTGGCATGTGAATTATATCTCAATTGAGATAAAAGAAAGTACCACCACCATACCCAAACTCTAAGTAATCTTTAGGGTGTCCTTTAGGGAGAGGGGAAGCTGTACCAGAAGCAAATATGGATCTGTGTAAAGGAAGGGAGAGGGCTAGGAATTGTGACATGTGAATAAATATATAAAATTTATTTCCTAGGATCTAAAATTTCTTTAAAAGATGGCTGTGAAAATAAAAATGATAATGTATTATGAGATTTAGAACATCAGTTTAAGTAAAATGCATGACAACGATAGCATAAAAGACAGGAGGGAAGAAATGGCAGGTTCTTAAGCTCTACTTGAATCCCCATACTGTCGCTTGAAGACAGACAATAATGAGTGAAAGACATATACCTAAACCCTAAAGTGACCACTGTAGTAACAAAAAAATAGTTGCATCCAATTAGTGAAGAAGACGGAGGAGGAGGAACAGAAGGGGAGGAGGAAGAAGAAATGAAATAATTAAATATGAATCCAAAAGAAAACAGAAAAAGAGAAAGAGGGAAAAAAGAATGAATGGTAGATTTAAATATAACCATAGGCCAAGTACAGTGGCTCATGCCTATAATCCTAGCATTCTGGGAGCCAAGGCAGGTGGATTGCCTGAACTCACAGGTTCGAAACCAGCCTGATCCAGAGCGAGACCTCGTCTCTAAAAATAGCTGGGCTTTGTGGCCAACGCTATAATCCTAGCTACTTGGGAGGCTGAAGCAAGAGAATTGCTTGAGTCCAATAGTAGTAAATTGCTGGGAACTATGACAACACCATGACACTCTACGGAGGGCAACAAAGTAAGACTCTGTCCCAAAAAAAAAAAAAAAACCCTAACCGTATACACGTATCAATAGTCAGATTAAAAGATTAAAAGTAAGTGATCTAAACACTTCAACTAAGAAGATTGTCAGATAAGATGAAAAAGCAAGACCCAATGGTAGGCTGCTTACAAGAATCTTAGTTTAAATAAAAAGACTCAAATAGTTTCAAAGATGGGGAAAAGATATACCATGCCACCACTAATCAAAAGAAAGGTGGAGTGACTAACTACATTAACATAGGACAGAGTATATTTTGGAGCAAAAAATGTTAACAGAGATAAGAAAGATCTTTTCATGACAATAAAGGACTAGACCCTTAGATCTGGACCCCTGGGCCTGAGTCCCCTAAACTTGGACCCTGTGGACACAGACCTCATAGATATGGACTCTCTGGACATGAACTTGGAAACATGGACCATTGGGCCTGATCCCCTCCCCCAGCCAGCCCAGATTGCCACCTGTCAGATCACCAAGTCATAGCCAACTACTTTCTCCTCCTCTACTCCTCCTCCTCTCCTTCCCTGCTCTTCCCTCTTCTCCAACTCCTTCAGCCCACCTCCCTCCTGCAGGGCCTGTGTCTGATGTATCTTTGCATTAACCATGATGCTTTGAAACAGAGCTCTGGGACAGGTCCCAGTAGACATCCATTACCTCAGGTGACCATCATTCTCTCTGATCCCTGACTGGCCTCCATGAGCCTCACAAAGAAATCATCAGTTTCCCTCCATCCCCAGGGCCAGAGAAGGACTGGTCAGGACAGGCATTGCCCCTCCCCAAGGTTCTACAAACTTGGACCCAATTGACCCACCTGTCTAAGGAGAAGGAGAGGTCCCTGACAATGTGCCCCTCCCATGGCTTTGTCCTGGATCTTTGTCTGCCCCAGATATCCACAAACCTCACATGCCTAGAACCTCCTTGTGCTCCAGAATTTCCACCTACCCCAGGAGAGCAAGGGCCATGTATGAATCTATCGGCCCGCTCTTGACTACCCACCTCCTTCAAGTTTCTAAGTCACCAGGGCCGCTTGCTATCTAAACACTGTCCTTGGATCTTTTGATTCATCAGGAGCATGGAAGCAGGACATCATTACCTAACTAATGATAAAAATGACAGTACCCTGATCATTCTCTCTCTCTCTCTCTCTCTCTCCACACACACACATGCACACAGACACACACACTAGGATGCTCCATCCTCAGGTGCTATAATCAACCCCCCAGGAAACATTTGTGTCAGGCATGGGTGGATGCCTTCCCTTCATCTTCTGGTCTGAGCATGAACTCCTCTGCACCACAACCTATGCCCAACATAAGGAAACTGGAACTGAACGGAATAGAATCAAACTGACAGTCACAGCAGCCCTTTATAGCATGCTACTCGTATTACTGTATCCACACTGCAGCTGGGGAAACTGATCATGGGATTATGATCTGGGTTTCTTGGCCAGACCAGGAGTATCCAGTCAAGGGCCAACCACCAAAGCACAGCTGCCTGCTAAGTGGATGCCTACTGCATTCCCCATCTTCAGGTCCCTGCATAGTGTCGAATGTTTTCTGTTGAAGGCTTGGTATTCTCAAAAAAGCCCCAGAAGCCATCACCTCCCCTGCTGGCCCCCTCAGAGCCAATCACCAGTGGTGTGTGGTCACCCTAGGAACCCACCTCTGCTAGCCCTGCTCCTTCCTTTCAGACACAGCAGAATCGAGGGCAGATGTGGGCCCTGACAAGTTGGCCTATGACTTGTGAGCAGGTTTTGCCTCTCTGTGAGCCTCACTCTGGCTGAGCCAGCACCAGATGGATCTACTGTGACATGGGGCTGGCCTTGACCCTGTCTGGGGAACCTGAGCCCATGTTGCATTACAGCGGGACAGTGGGAGCCCTCAGGATAACAAAGTAGAGCTCTAAAACAGTGCCTATGAAGAACCCAGGATTATGAACATGGAGGATTTCAGTGCATGCCGAGAAGCTGTGGTGCCCAACTTCATGCTGAAGGCAATCAGGAAAGCCTCAGCTTCCCTCAGGATGAACTCAAAGGACTTCCCACTACAGAGACCAAAATCTCCATCTGAGGGCCCCTGCATTGGACTTGCTGAAACCCTAAATAAGTATGCCCCTGGTCACAGGAAGCTGCCATGTAACTTCAGTGTTATCTTCAACACAGATATCTACCTCATCCTAGGCTGTGGTTCTGGGACATGCAATGCAGCCACACTTTCTGCACCCCAAAACCTCTTCGATGGAAGGGAAATGGCTACAGAGTTTGGCCCACTCTTTTCCTACCTCCCTTACCAAATACCAAACCATCAAAGCTGAGAAAGAGACTGCAAGCAGGCCCACCTTTTCACCATACAGCCATGAGACCATTGAGATACCTGGGGGATGGCAGCCCTGCAGGACAGATCCTGAGTCCCTGATGTCCCCGTCAGGGCCCTCCATCACCAACATCCCTTCCAGAACTGGGCAGGCTCAGGGACAGCTTAGCAGCCCTCAGCCTTCAGCAAGGACTCTCCCACCAAAACTCTCACACACAGGCGCGCACCCCCCCCCGCCCCCATACTACATCCAATTTACTTAGTCTTGGATAATTTCTTTAGGAAGATTTTCAAAACCACCTTTCAATTTAATCCATTCCCATTTTGTGAACAATGCTTTTCTCCAGAGCCCTGTTGCTGGAGAAGGGATTAGGAGGAAGGGCTCAGAGTGATGTCCCCCTTACCTTCCCTGTGCTTTGCAGACACACAATGCCTCACACTCTAGGGCTCCCTGGAAGGACTAACCTATCAAATCTGAAGTCCCAGCATCACCCCTGAGCATGGCAGGCACACATCAAGGTCAAGCCGGGGAGCTCAGCACCTCTCAGGCAGCCAGCCCTTCCCGAGGGGAGAGAGCCTGGCCTGACCCACCCAGGCTCTCTCAGGTCAAACGGGAGGCCACCCCAAACCAGGCGGCGCTGCAGCTAGGAGGAGCCACCAGCCCAGAGCCTCAGGAGATGCCGCGGCTCCTGCCGTGCCAGCCCGAAGTCTTCGCCCTCAGCTCCCTGGAGTGGAAGCAGTGGAAGACACTCCCGCTGAGCGTGGGGACCACGCTGGGTCACCGCGCACTCCTCTGAGCTCCGGGGCTGAGGAGGGAGCGCAGCCCCGGTGTGGCGCGGGAAGGCGAGTGCTGGCGCGAGTCCCGCGGTCCCCTAGGCGTGGGGGCACCGGAGGCCCCCTTACCGCAGAGCATCAGCAGCAGCGGGAGAAGTTGCAAGGACCGCCGAACTCGAGTCTCCATGGCCAGCAGCTGGGGCTGGGTCAGGTTCTGTCCTGCTGGGGCCACCAGAGATGGGGGGGCACGGGGCGGGGCCGCGAGGAGTCCACCCCAGGCCGTGCCCCAGGTCCCGCCCCTAGACCACGCCTCTGGTCGCACCAAGCTCCCTCTTGAACCTGGGGGGCTCCCCCCAGATGGACTGTGTGCACCATCCTTCCAGCTGGGTGGGTGGGCAAGCAAGGCAAGGTGGGGTGGGGTGATTGTAGTCCCAGCAGGGGTGAAGACGGGTGAGGGCAGGATCTGAAATGGAAGTAAGGTGGGGCTCCAGCTGTGAGGGCAGGCTGGGGTGCAGTCTGGGGAACTGCAGTCTAGGCTTGTGGACAGACTGGGGAGTGAGTTGGGTGAGGATGGGGTATGGACTGATGGCAGGCTGTGGGAGAGACTGGGGTAGACTGGAGGGAGGTGGGCCTGGTAGCAGCCTGGCTGGGAGTAGCCTGGTGCTGGGTGGGGAGTGGTGAGGGCGGCTGGCAGGGAGGGGGACTTGGAGCAGAGACAAGTTTGGGCCTCAGGTCTCCAAGGGACAGGAAAGTACATGAAGGAGGTTGCCCTGTGGGGGTAAAGGGAGTGAAAGGTGTATGGAGGTGTCTGCCAACCTGATCTGCATGTGTGTTTTTGAGTGTATGCTCAGGAGACAATGTGTTCGGGAGAGAGACTGGAGGGGTGTGGCAATTGCACACATAACAAAAGGGACCAAACTAGAAGCAAACTAAGGGGCAGGAGAGTGCCTGGCACCCTCAAAGACCTGCCCTTGCACAGCATCAGAGACCCTGGGGTGGGGGGAAGAATGGGTCTGAAAGGCTCACCTGTCACCCTTAGTCCCTGGCCCAGGCCCTGGCCCCAATAGGTACTTGATCACATCTTTGGAATTGTCCCTGGTCAGGATCACTCCTGAGACCCAGCTGTGGGGATCACTATGCTTTCTGGGGCTCACCATCATCACCAAGAGCCCAGGCTTGTGGAGGCTGGGGCACAGGCCCGGAAGGTGACTCCCACCTGGACAAGCCCTCTATCTCTCTGAGCCAAGATAACTGCTGCCTTCCCAGAAGCAGAGCTGACCTTTTCCTGCCTTAGAAAGACTCACTTTATTTAATAAGGTCCTTATTAGAAAGCAGAAATTTCTGTGCTTTTTCACCAAAGAAATTCTGATTGAAGCCAGAATTAATTTGAGGGAATCAAATTAATTAAAATTAATCAGTCATCCTGCCTTCTGCCAGAGAGGGTGGAGGCAGGTGCAGAGATGACCATGGAGCCTCCAGTGAGACAGATAGTGTCAACAGATAGTATCAGCCGATAGGCCTTCTGCCCACAGGTTGGAGGTTATAAAGTAGGCTGACCTGGGCAGCAGGGGGCTGCCCCCGTCAACACATACCCCCTGAACCAACCAAGAAAAATCAAAGGACAGTCCAGGCCCATGTATCCATTCACACCCCGCAGAGACACAGACTCTGGAGAGCCTGAGACCAGACTTAGTCCCACAGCACCAAAAGTGTTTCCACACAGCTTTCAGGCCAGACAGTGGGATGAAGTCACCAGGTGGGGGACAATGGCAGGCTGGAGTGCTATGGCTCAGCACTGACCACTACTTAGGAACAAAAACCCCAGGCCACCTACAGGAGCCACTGCAAGACCAGCTTGAGCTTCTCCCTCTGCCTGGGATGCCCCACCCTGGGTCTTCTGTGGAGAAGCCCACCCATGCTGCAGAGCCAAGTGCCATCACCCCTCCTCCATGGAGTCAGCCATGCCACCTATCAGATCCCCAGGGCTTCATGAACACCGTACCCCATGTCCCTCAAAGGCAGGGCCTCTGACGAAGGGGGGTCTACAGCTTGCAGGTGGATATAACACAGGTTGTGTGGAGCAGAACCATGGGAGAGGCCAGCCTCACCCTGTCCACCGTGTGCCACCCCGTCCACATGTGGCTGGGGCCATAAATGAAATTAACCATAAGGTGCAGCCTGGCCGGCTCCCCAGGCTTGCCCCTCCATGGGTGTTGCCCATCCACAGATCCCTATATCTGAGATCCTGTGTCCTTTAGGGTTCATAATTCTGTATATAAAACTTCCCAGTTCAAATTACTGTGTGCTCTTACTCCCGACCTATTCTCATGGTACTTATTCTGTAATTCTTCTTACGGTTAAATAATTGTAAAAGAACATTTTCTTGACACTAAGAGTCTTAGTCTCTTCTAAGAGAGTCTTAGAAGACTTAGAAGTCTTCTAAGACTTAGAAGAGTCTTAGTCTCTTCTAAGAGTCTCTTCTAAGAGTCTTCTAAGAGACGTGTAATCAAATAACATCATTGCGCTTATATAAGATCAGAGAAGCACAGGGCCACCCAAGCCTTCAGCCTCTCTGGACATCATGCTGCTCCCGGGGTGACCACACATCCCAGCCACCAGAGCATGGAGCCAGCTCAGAGTTAGATCCGGCTCTGCTTGTTCTGGGATTAGACGTTGGGAGGGGCGGGACTGAGACACGGCATTCCTGGAAATTTGGCTCCCCCTGCTGGAAAAATATTTAAATAACTACAGCACTATCCTCTAATGAGATGGCTCTGTCCCCTGGAGGGGGGGGAGGACATACCAGTCACTCCAGTCAGGGGCACCAAACAGAGGACCTATCTCCAAAGAAAGGGTGGTGGGGGAAGAACCCAGAAAGGGGTGCCTCTGACACCTAGATGTGTCCCACCTCCCCCTGCTTAGGACACTACTCTCCATCTCCTTTATTGTTTAATTGTAAAAAATAAAATTTTAAAAAATAACATCACTGTTTTTGCCCTGTAAACCTATCTTTCTCTTCCTCAATAAACTTTGTTTCACACTTGGAAAAAACACAGTAACACCACTTACAGTGATTAGCCATTTTCAAGTGTGTGGTGCAGTGGCATTAAGTACACTTACATTGTCCCATCACCATCACTAAAACCCATCTCCAGGACTTTTTCCTCTTTCCAAACAAACTCTGCCCCTGTTAACACTAATCCCCTGTTCCCTGACAAGGACGGTTCTACACGGTCCCTATGAATGTGGCCACTCTAGGGACCTAAGTAAGGTAAGTCCAGTCAGACAGTATTTGTCCTCATTTCACTTAGCACAACATCCTCAAGTTCCATCCACGTTATAGCCTGTCAGAATTTCCTTCCTTTTTAAGGCTGCATAATCCGTTGCATGAATAAACCACATTTTGTTTATCCATTCGTCTGTTTTCCATTTCCTTTTTAAGTGAACAAAGCAAGTTTAATTATATTTGATTTTACTTTTATAAAAATCTATCAAAAATGTCTGGATCTGGAAAGATTTGAAATGATTTTTAAGTTACATTATTTTCTGTTTGTCTCTCTTTTCTTTTTTCTACAATAGCACTTGCGGCAAGTGACATTTTATGTGATTCATGTGTTGTGAGTTTGTATGTCTGTTGACAGGTATGCATGCGTGTGTGGGAGTGCTGTGTGGTTCTTGCACGTGTGGTGGAGGGCTTGTGTGCACGTGCTGTGAGTTGGTAATGTGTGTGTGTGGTGTGTGGGTGAATGTTCATGTGTGTTGCATGTGCATCTGTGTGATGTGTGTGTTGTGAGAGTATCAGTGACTGTGGTGTGGGGCATCAGAGTGTCTGTGTGTGTTAAGTATGTGTTCAGGCAGACACTCCCTAGCCCCAGGTGGACAAATTAAGCAAGTCATTTCCAGCAGCTTGACTTTCCTGTCCCTTCACATGCCCCAACCCTTAGTTCCATGACCCCCTCCCACTTCTGCCCTACTCCCACAAGGTTACGAGGGTGAAGGGTCAGGGCTGGCATCAAGGACCTGTTTGGAGCCCTGAGCATAGCTATTTGCTTCTTTGACCCTTTGTGAGCTCAAAGTTAAATGTGACAATAAGAACCTGTTATGAGTTTGTGGGGTATGTGAATTATAAGCCTGTGTGGAATAATAAAAATAATGCCAACCTGGGCATGGTAGCTCATGCCTATAATTCTAAAATAATGAGAGGCCAAGGTAGGAGGATAATTTGAAGTGAGGAGTTTGAGACCAGCCTTGAGCAAAAGTGAGTCTTCATCTCTACTCCCCCTCCCCCCAAAATTAAGAGATGTTGAGGATCAAGGAAATAAAAAAATAAAAAGTCATATGGGAAGGGCGTTCCTGCCCAGGGCTGTGAGGAAGGAAAAGTACTTTGGAGACTGGAAAGCTCCAGGCACGTTTAGGGATAGTCTCTGAAGAATGCATTTCCTATCTCCTGTGAGAGGATACAGCACTCATCAAAAGACTGATGGTAACAAAGGGAGAGAGGCAGGAAGCCCATTCCCACAGGACCTTGTGGACCAAAAAACTGTGTGGCCAAAGCCACGGTGACATCTCTGTTCCCCAGTACAACTGTCTTGTGGGGAGGCCTAAGGAAGCACCTGCCTAGGAAAGTTCAGGGCTGCATACTCCCTGCTGGTTTGCAAACTTGGTGTCTCACACTCCACAGATTTGGGTGCATGTCAAAAATCCTTGAGGAAAAGACAAACCTCTGGTTTATAATAACAGAGACAAAGAGAAAGACCAATGTGGTTCACAGAATAGTAATGTCCACCCCCAGACGTCCCTACGTAATCTCTAAAGCCTTGTCAAATTTTCTTCTTATGTGCTAAAAAGGAATTTATGGATAAATTAATTTCATTTGTTAACTTGGCTGGGCCAGAGTGCCCAGATATGTGGTCAGACATCATCTTGGGTGTTTCTGTGAATAGGGATAAGGTCAACATTCAAATCAGCAGACTTTGAGTAAAGCAGGTTGCCCTCCACAAAGTGGGTGGGTGGAACTAAATAGATCAAAAAGGCAGACCTTCTCCAAGGAAGAAGGAATCATCCTACAGATGATCACAGGACTTAAACTATAACAAGCTCTTCCCTGGGTCTCCAGCCTGCTGGCCCATCCTGCAGATTTTTGACTTGCAAGCCTCCATAATTACATAAGTCAATTCTTTAAAATAA